ACGATCGGGTGGGCATTTTGCCCGGGGACGGTGACACGTCCCTATACCCGGGGGAGAGAGAGAGAGAGAGATAGAAAGGGGTAACCCTTGCCTATAGCCCTGGCGAAAGAAAGAGATATAGATAGATAGATATATATATATATATATATTTTCCGTATATATATATATATCTATACATATCAGCTGAGTCGCGAGCGGCTGAGGCCTGATGGCCACATCTTTGATCGGGAAGCCATCTTGGAATGTCTGCTGCAGCAGAAGCTTGACATCCAGGAGAGGAGCAATGCAAAGCCGCGTTGCACTTGAGCTCGGGGCAGCCTCTTTGCCAGCGTTGTCGATCCTAAATTGCTTCATGACAGAAGAGTATCAATCATGACGCAAGCAGGCAGAGCAGAAAAAGTTTGAGGAGCAGGCAGGTCTGGCTGAGAGGCAACACAGAGGTTTTGAACCGTGAAGCGCTCAGGAGAGGCAGCGCGAACAGAGACTGCTATCTGCAGACAGAGAGGCCCCGCGGCTAGATCTAAACGGGCAGAAGCGATCGAGGAGCTGGCTGCTTCAAAGCTGCATCCTTTAGAAACAGCAAACATCTTCTCCCGTAGTCAAGCAAACATGATGTTTGCCATCTCGTTGGCATCGTTTGAGATCTCGTGCTATGATTGCTTTTTTGGGTATACATCGATGGTGTGACATTTTTCCGACACGCCTGATGTGCCGTCGCGTGGTGATATCGCCATATATCGCCAGGTCGAACTTGTGGCTGGATCTATTCTCAGGTCGCACTCCAGAAAGGGATTTAGGGCCTGGGTTTGTGTCGGATTGTTCGGTCCACAGATGCTGATGCGCTTGATTCTGCTTGATCTGATACAACCTGCTGCACTGATCGGCACGTGAGCGACTGCTCGGTTTCTGTGAGTCAACGGTCAATCGGTCAGACAGTCAGAACAGAAAGTCAGACAGTCGGGCAGTCGGACTTCGGACGGTCCGTCAGACACGTTATGCAGCGGGGCACGAGGTGTGCCTTACCACTCTAAGTGCCTGCTTTTCAGTGCGCCCAATGCGCCCCATCGTCCTTTTCGATACTCTCTGTGTTATACAGCTAGGGTAACGGACTTGGCCCGCCTTCAAAAGTGGGGGCGGGTTACTCCTTGTTAGGCTGCGGCCAGAAGTAGCGGGTGCGAAGTGCACGCGCATCTAGCCCGTGCACTCCGGCTTTTGGATCTTTTGCTTGAGGTGCAGTTGAAAGAGCTGGAGGCCTTCACAAACGCTGAGCAGGGCTTGCTCTCGCAGGACGGTGTCTGGTACGTCGTCTTCCGAAGAAGCCTGATGGCGCCGTGTTCCTCAAGCCTGACAGGACCACAGACACAAACGGGCCTTAGAACAGGCTGATGCCGTCCGAGAAGGTGTGCTTGTGCCCTAGCTGCTTGACTCCTGGGTCTTCTTCAAAACAGATGTTTGGCGAGAGCTGAATAAGGCCCGAAAAGAAGCTGAGAAGGGGCGAGCTGTTGGTGGTTGATAAGAGTCAGCTGACGCTTGGTGCAGTCCATGCAATTGTGAGTCCATACATGCGTCAGTGATGCGCCATGTTTTGTCGTGCTAAGGAGAGCCAAGAGCTTCTGGACCAAGGAACCAAATTTGTGAAAGAAAGGCACATGCCTCGCCACTTCGTCTCGCCCTTTCATTTGTTTTGGAGGAGTTCACGCCTACAGCCGCGCCAACAGAAGTCAAGAAAGTCCGAGCCCCGGCAGTTGCCTTTGGCTTGAATCGCGACTGTATGCTTCGTAGGTCGACGCGACGACTAGATGTCCGATGACTGGCAAGAAGCTGAAGGTGAAGGCACAGGGCACCACTACTCGTACCTTCCTGCTCCAAGTAGCCAGGATCCAGTGCAATTGCTGTTGATACTAAGCACGACCATACTGCAGGATCTCATTCCTGTGAAAATGGATATCGCAGATCAAAAACTGATGGACCAGGGCGGAGGCGCTCAACTTCTGGTGGCATCTTTCACAGTGCAAGCAAACCACGCAGCTCCGTGGCCAGGCAAAGGCGTGTACTGCTGTGCGGTATCCAAGAACGCCATCATCCATCAGCAGGTCGGTCGGCAGCAGTGGACTTGCTCAGACAGAGTGCTGCAGACATCTGAGGCACTTCTTCTGAAGCCCACCGGAGCAGCAGCCTTACTGGGGTTTGATCTAGGCTACGACCTGCTTGTTACATCTTGTTAGTGCTACGGGGCAGCCGGGTGGTGTGAAGCCTTCCACTTGCATGCTGCGCAAAGACACGACACTGATGACGAAGTAGCTGATTTCGTGCGTCTAGGGTTAACATGGGGAGGCTGAGCTGCATGTCGAATTGACGAATCTTCCGACGTTATCCAGCCAACATTAAATTCGTGGCGCATTGTCATGAGGTCGTCATTCTGGAAAGCGTCTGGAAGGACATAGTTAGCAAAGAGATGAAGTGCCCAGCCGCTCGGAAGCACGAGATGAGCTTAGACGCAACATGCACATGCGTGCGCCACTGCACTCCCCTCCCCCCCCCGTGTACGCTCAGTATGGAAGTGGGCAACCCTGACGTCAATGCATGACAGGGAGAAATGGGAGCAAGGCTTTTGCAGGAATTGGGTTATCGCATTACAGCTGTTCTCTCTTTCCCGAAGCATGTAGGGCACTTAGGCCAAGCAGGTCTTCCTCCTCCGCCTCCCGCTCCTGCTGCTCCTCATCATCATCGCCATCATCGTTCTCGTCCCCGTCGTCATCGTCAGTATCGTCATCATCATCATCATCATTCTAATCGTCAGCGTCGTAGGAATTTCGGGTTTTGGGGTTTTGCGAGTCCGAATTTGCGATTTTTGGTTTTGCGGTTTAGGATTCTTGGGTGGCTCAAGCAAGGTTTAGGAATTTGTAGTTTTTGGCTTGGGGGTCTCGGGATTTACGGTGGGATTTGGGTGTGTTTTGGTGTTTTGGTGGAGGATTTCTAGATTTGGGGGTTAGGACTGTGGGGTCAGGATGTAAGAATTTAGGAGCATTCAACGTGCATACAGCAGATATACGACAGATATCGAAGGAAAACGTGTTGAGATGTTCTCTCGCTCTCTCTGTGACACTCACTCACATTCTTCACACATGCGCACATTCTGCATCGTTTGATGGACAGATTCACGAGCGAGGTCACTGGAAAGAAGTTGCGAGGTGAGGAGGCGGCAGTCAAGTAATCTTGTGCGCACGCCATACTCTTTTTGGAGTGCAGCCTTGTTACACGCAGGATCTCTTGAAGCTGGAGCGCGGAGGTTCTGGCTTCAGCGCCCACAACGATGTCGAAGCAAAGGCTCTTGGAATTTAGCAAACTGTCAGCGCGATGTCTCAATCAACTCGTGCCTGCCAGTCCTTCACCATGATCCGGAGTGCGACCGGCGACAACCGAACGCAAGCAGGGCATTTGCCCAGAGCGGGCTATGCGGGACTCCACTGACATACCGAGACATTTTAGCAAGTGTTAATGCCAGCACATTCAGCAGGACCTATATGTTTTTGCGTGGAGATGTCCTTAAGCTCACTGGCTTCACCATCGCAGAGCTAATGTGCCACACGCTGCACATCCTGAGTGCAAGCTGTGTCGACTGTCGACCCATGACGGAGGGACGATATCGAAAGAACGCAAGCTTCTGAACGCGATGATGGCAGATTCGCATGACACATTACGATCGTGCTCTCGTCAGTTCGTCAGCTTGGCTCACCGCCCCAACTCCTGCAAGACATGTCGTGCACAACAACTTACCACTTACGCTGTCAAGACTCAAATTGGAGCCTGCTTTCTGGCAGTAGAACCAGGAAAATGGCGAGCTGCTCCCTAGAGAGCAGATGTCAAGAAGAGCTTGAGACGCTCGTATGTCGCAAGCTGACCGTGAGCGCAGCTATTCCTCGCAGCATCGATACCGTGCTGCCCAGAAGCTTCGGAGCTCCAGTGTGACGAGGACGGCACGACCTTTTTTCGCACTGCATCGTAACGAACAGCCCGACTGCAGCCCCAGCGCATCGCATTGTGTCTGAGTCGCAGGAGTCGTGTCGACAGAGGCCGGTTTGTGCTCGCGCATGCTGGTGCCAAGCTACGCAGAAGAGACCACGCCCAGACGTTTGGGCATTTGAGCATGCCATGGCAGGCTCTGCATCCACACCCAGAAGAGCTCGCGCGGAGTCTCGTGGATCTGACCTCTTCAACGCGTCTGTTGGAGGGAATTCGCAGCAAGATCACTTCTTGCGCACCGCTAAGAAGAGCGACTTGGCTCCACGCTTTGCGCGTTTGTGAGAGGTTTTGGAGGTTGGTTTTGAAGATGACTGATGAACACTCAGGCGAATCGATGCTTTGTCACTCTCTTGGTGGGAGCTTCTGCGAAAGACCGCCGAAGATGCCACAGACCGACAGAACCACTACAACAGTTCCAACAGCGGCTTGGAATCAGCGTAATCTTCGAAGCCGCTGTGATGTGTGGGGAGCTGCTTGCTCGCCGCGCCGACTGGAGACGGTGCGACAGGAACTAGCTGCAGTTCGGGCAGACGTGCGATGCTTACGAGGATTCCTGGATGCCACGACGATTGCGACGTCCCAACTTGCCAGGCAGTCCGTGGAGAGCCGTCAGCATCTCCGCAAATTGATGGAGGAGGAGCGCATCGAAGGGGCCGAGTGTGACTCTGCTCTACTCAAAGGGCCGGATGAGGAGGAGAGAGAGCGCCTTGAGAGCCTCGCTGAAGAGGTCCGCAGCAAGTCATGCAAGTCACAGGTTGCGGGGTTTGCTGGGTGTTCGATCATGTTCGATCATAGGATAATTTATAGCATCTGTCCCTGCGAGAGGTCAGTGAGCTTGGTTCACAGGTTAGCGACCTTGCGCAGCAGCAGCTCGAGTGTTACAAGGACGTTCAGTACCTGCGAGGATTCACAGCCCTTGTACGACTGCGGCAGCGTGCGAATGCTGCGACTCTGCAAAGCCGGAACTTCGGCCAGCAGTGTGATTCCAAGGCCAAGGAGCTTGACAAGACGAAAGAACAAATGGCTGCCCTGCGACTAAAGGCACATTCTCTGAGAGAAGAAGCAGCGAAAGCAAAGGTAGAGGCTGCGGACGTCGGTGAAGACTCTGCCCTACAATTCCTCGAGGCTCTTCGTGTGGAACTTGGAGCCGAGGAGTCACTGCTCGTGGACTGTACATGCACATTGCCGCCGTCATGTCCGCCACATTGGGTTCTCAATTTCCTGAAGCAAGTGACCGGAATCACGACATTCCCACATTCCCGCATAGGGGTTCTACACGTTTTTGCTAGTTCCACAGATCCCTAAGCCCTGTATAGAATATGGGCTACTCGCACTAGGAGACACTCAGGCGGCAACCGTCCGAAGGCTTGGTTGTGACGCTGCATGACTCTCTGCCGCCATGGCAAGTGCTGGAGTGTTCACTGTCGCGCCGTTGGCGGCACGTGTCGCGCGGTGCCCCCACCAGCAAGACTGCACGGCTATGGCTGTTAGATCTGTAAGCTGGTGCTACGCTAGGCCAGGCACTCCAAGCCTACCAGGCCGGAGCTTGGGACAGCGGGCAGAGCGGGCAGCGCGGCAGCGCTTCAAGTCTCGCCTCGCAGGCCATGAGCATCGGACTGAGAGGTCCGAAGCGAGACTCTGCGAAGCCTCGCGGGCCTCACCTCTGGTGGTGCTAGGAGCGGTGCCTCGGCGCAGCAACAGTGGGGAGGGCTTTGAGCCGTTAACAGATCGGGAGTGGCCCAAGGCTCTTCTGGTGCGGCGAGCGCCGAGGAGAGCCGACTCGCGAGACTCCCGAGATCTCCCGCTCCCAAGTCCCAAGCTCTGACAAGTCCCGGACCGGAAGTCTGACTAGGTCTGCCAGTGATCGGCTTTTGTACGACAGCTTGAGGCGAGAAGTCGGCTGCTCAGGCACCGGCACCGAGCATCCTGTGCAGATGCTGCGGCTAGATTCTTAAGGTGGGCAGAATGAAGAGCAGGCGGCGCAAGAAGGTCTCCGCTCGTGACGCTGTGGAGCCCCTGATGCAGGATCCTCATGCCCGAATCCTTGTCACACAGGACGAAGTGAGTCAAGTTCGCTGGATCCGCCCTGCCCTGCAAGGTGCTATTGCATGTCATGACATCATGTAGCTGCGCTGCTCATCGGTCCTAGTGACCTAGTGGATTCACTAGTGGATTGCTGGAGGTGGGCCGAGGCGGCGCAGCTTGGCCAGCTTTTCTGGCGCACCTGCATCTGGCTTGCACAAATCGCAGAATATCGCAGAAAGCATCCTGTCTCTTCTGTGTTGCGCATTGTTGCGTGTCCGCGATCGCCGAGGTAGCTGCAAGAGTTTTGGGTGCCGTTTGCTTCTTGGGACCCCTCGTTGCTTGCCTGTTCTTGGCTATGAGCGTGTTCGCGTTAAAATACGATGTGCCATGGCGACACCTACGGCCAATGCTGGTCACCGGAAGGCTCTTGCGATCCCCTATGGTGCGCAGTTTTTCGCCAGCTCGTCGACGCTGCGTGAGCTCTTGTTGAAGCCGCTCCTGCCCCTGGTTCTAGCAGCGTTCTCAGTTGCGTTATTCCTCCGCTGCCAGAAAATCCTTTCTTTCCACCTTGAGCGCAAGGCATACCATTCCTCCAGATTCGCGAATCTACTTTGCATAGCAGCCCTTTATGGCCTCGTTGTGCCGTGGCTGCATCCGAGACAGTACCAAGCAGTTCCATGATCTGCTTCTCGCGGATCGACAGTACACTCGTGTCGCAGACGAACCAGACATTGAGTAGTGACGAAGTCTCGAAATGTAGCGCATGCTGTGACAGCTTCCATCAACCAAGGCACGGAATAAGTGGACGCCCGAGCTTGAGCCGCGTTGTGTCAGCTGTCAGCCTCAGCTTGTGCAAGGTCCTTGCATCCACTCACGTGTTCCTTGGGCTTGCCTGCTCAGGCATACACGCAATCGCTTTGTCAATCTGTTGCTCCGCACAGAATCCTTAGGTCGTCAGGCATCAACCTTGATGATGATGCAGTCTTGCCGGCCTGATTGTTGTGATGGACCTGGCCCTGCTGAAAACATCGAGCTAAACATTTGCACTTCTTTCAAAGAGCCCGAAAAAAAGGGTGGGACACACACACACACACGCACACA